CCCTCTTCGTGGGGGGGGGGGGTTCCTTCTGGGACTGTGCAGCTTGCCCAAGGTCACCCAGGCTGGCTCCTCTGAGATCCACAACGGGGAACTGAACTCCCAACCCGATTCCTAAACCACTGAGCTATGCAGCCTGCCTACTGTCGTCATACACTGTGCTACAGACTGATTCTGCAAGGAACTATTTAACAGACCACATACGAAAGGAAACAAAAGCAAAACATGTTCATTTCAGAAATCATGGAATTAATGAACTATATAGTTGTTTAATGATACACCAGAATGAGTGTCTGTATACTTACATTGCTCCATGATAGAAATAGCCAAGGAACGGTGTGTTGTTAAGGGATGACTGTACGCATAAGAAGGGAAACCAGTCAGGGGCCCGGTTTCCTTTCTGGATAGAGCACAGCTGGTCAAAAGGTGGACTGACATCCCCACCATAGATTCCTGTATAACACGATCCACTGAAGAGTAACTTCACCTCTGAGGTGCAGTCCTTAAGAGAGGGAAAAGATACCAAGGAATTAACCAACAGGGCTGGGCCAGTTCAGCAGGAGCGAGCAAAATCAGAGTCAGAACCTATTATGGCCGTGGCAGTGACCCAGCGCAGGCTTTTTATACATGCTGAATCCCTGCAAGTCCCCTTAAGAGAATCAGGCAGAAGGCTGTGGGAAAGCTGTCTGCCTGTCAAAATAAACCACAGCAAATTCAAAAAATTATGACCCGTTATAAAGCCATTTTCTGAGTTAACTTTCAAGAGGGCGCTTGTTGCATAAGAATCCACCCTTTTTTCACTAATCATGTTCATTGGGTATTTTCCTTCTTATTAAATTATTCCACTAAAGGAAGACTGTATGGAAACAGGTGTCACAGGTTTATTATACCATAGCACTAAATGGAGAAAAGCAATGCCCCCCTTTTTTTTGTTCAATCAGTTTACAGTCATTTTTGTAGGTTTCCCGGTAAACTTTGGAATCACGAAGCACAGAAGCCATACCGAATCGCAGCAGCAACGGAAATCACAAGCTCCAGCAGTGAGATTGCAGGGACAAGACCCCAGTGGCTGAAATACTTGATTGGGAATGACAGTTGCATTATCTTTAAAAAAGAAAGGAAGAATGAAGCCAGGACTGAAGCCAGGAAGGGGACCGAAGACGTCTCCCTCCCACCATTGTGATTCATCAGCAGAACCTCCAGCAGGATCAGCTCATCTGCCCTTGTAAGTTATGCCAGGTTCCTCCTCTTCCGTAACTGTTTTAATCTAAACTCATCCTCAAAAAAAACATTTAAGTCTTTGAGAACCGAAACATGCGCTTGGATCCCACTCCTCCCCTTGCACAGTTTTAAGTCATCAGTTCCTTAATCTTGGAACAATCTCCATATCTGGTCCAAATGAGCTCTTATCCAAGACCTCTTAGTATCACCAAGGGGAGGGGGGGGAAGAATCTAGAAAGCAGTTACAAAAACAGAAGGTAGCTCAGAACTGCAGGAAGTCACCAAGAACAGGGTTCGCTCCAGTCTTGAAGATAGGAGCCTTGAATTGAATTTTTCCCCTCTCTGCCATGGAAGGGAATTGTTGCCATAAGGAGAAGCAGCACATGCTCACTTGGGGGGGAGGGGGATACCCTCGTTTTGACTCTGCCTTCTAAGCCTGGACACTGGAGGGCTTGGCCACCACCGAGACCAGTACGAGCGGAGGGGAATGATGGGTCTTTGTATGCAGGGCACACCACGTCTCTAACAGGTCTTCAACAACACAGGGCCTCCTCACATGCAGATGTGGAATAACTGGAGAAAACTGGCCAGTTTTGCTGAACATTATGCTTAAACCATTTACATGCGTGCCAGAGATTGTGCAAACGCACTGGGGAATTTCTTTATCCCTTCACGGACAACGTTGCTTCTCCTCCACACACGATTTTTTAAGCAGATGAATCCAAATCAAAAGGCTACCCTATAGGCATACACGTTCTTCTGGTTAGGCATGCAATCTAGCTAAAAAATATACAACCCTAAGCCAGAAGGACCTAACTACCTTCTACTCGTCCCGTCACATTTCCCGAAGATGTATTGGCATATATTTCAGCCTGGATCAACAGGTGGGCCACCACCTCCGAGTCTCGACAAGCTGAGACCTGCAAAGCTTCGACCAAGCAAAGGGCCTCCGCGCAGCAGTCGGTCAGGTTCGAGGTACACAACCACAAATTCCTCATCAAGCGCACGGTCACCTGGGAAACATTCTGAAACACAAAAGCTGGACCGGTAGTTGTGACGCTCACAAAGCATTTCACAGATTGAAATAACCCTTGATGGAAAAAACCGCTCACAAAGCATTTCACAGATTGAAATACCCCTTGTTGGAAAAAAACCACCCAGCCAGAAAACCACCTTCAGAACACGGCCAAGAAGCCCGAAAAACCCACAACAACCACCCAGCCAGAGTTTGATTCAAACAAACATATGAAGGATCTCACCTGCCCAAAAATATAACAGCAGTTGTTACTCACTGTTAATATGGTCTTTTTAATACCTGGTATTTAAAGAAGGCCTCAGGGCCTCCAGAGTTTAAATAATGAAGTAACACAAGAAAAGAAATGCTATTTCCAATTGTTCCATTGGGCTGAAAATATAATGTAAAAAGGAAATTTTTATATGTAACACTGCACTTTGCAATGTTACTTTCAATCTCACTCTGTCGATAAAAAAGAAGGGATAGAAGAACAATATTTTTATTGGGATTAGACTCCCGAATTCATTGTATTTATTATTGTAGCCTTCAGTGGGAAAACACTGAATATTTTGGATCAGCAAAATATAGTAATAACATGTGAAAGGTCTGTCCGTCCTCCAGCAAACAAAGAAAGGCTTATTTGGTAATCTACCTGGGATTAATTCTCAATACATTACATTCCTCTTACATTGGGGGGGGGGGCAGGGATTTATAGGAGCCTCTAGAAAGAGTCAGCCACAACTGAATGGCAAATTTAGAAATGTATGGGATCGGAGTCACAGGAGGCATTGAAAAAGTGGGTTGTTAAGATATTCAACTAGCAATGGAAAGTACAGAGTAAAGTTTTTACTAACCCCTTGATGCGTGACATTCAAACTCCAGTCACCCGTTCTGTTCCTTCCACTGCAATCTGCAAGGGGCAACGTGCCTAGAACAGAGCAAAAATAGAGCTAAGGTCAACACAAACCTAGGCAGAGCAGCACACAGCCCATTCGAAATACAGGAACTGATTCGTGAACTCTTACTTCAGTCTTAGGAAGGAAGGAAAATCTCCACGCCACCCAAGAAACGAAGGAAGCTACCTTAACATTGGGTGAAACCATTGATCCACCAACTCTGGCACTGTCAACCCTGACTTGGAAATGTTGGCTTTCTTGTATTTATTTTCTTTAGCTGAGACTGGACCCAGCATCTTTGGTATACAAAGCAGACGTTCTATCGCTAAACTACAGCCGTTCTATAAGGCAGCTGACCAGTTCAGAGCATACAGGAGACAACACTGTAGCGCACACTCTTTGGACATCCAAGAGAACACAACAGTCAACAGGCTTAGGAAATGCAGCTGGAGCCGCTGATTCACAACGGACACACTGAGGTCTATTCTGTCAACAAGAGAGCCCGTTATTAACGGAGAACACGGCCGGCAGTCTTTTTGAACCAGATAGTGAAGAGCCGCAGACTGAGACCCAACGAATCTGTGGATCTAGTTAATTAACTGTTATCTTGTATATGTGATTGTCTTATATTGCCAATAAAGGCATTGATTGATTGGTTGGTTGGTTGGTTGATTGATTGACTAATTGACATAACTGCAGCCTGAGGCAATGGCTTTGTTCTGCCAGCTGTTATAATCAACTTACATATATCTTTAGGTTTATAATTTTCTTGCTTTTACTGCCAGGGATGAGAGAAGCAAGGGACATTTGTCAACATTCACATGTTTCATGACTTATGGGAGATCTTGACAGAGCTCAGTGGCTTAGGTCTCTGGCTGTGGAGCCAGAGGTTGGGAGTTCAATTCCTCACTGGGCCTCCTTGACAGGGGCTGGACCCGATGATCCATAGGGTCCCCTTCCAGATCTGCTATGATGATGACAGAAAACAGTCCAGCAATTTCACAATCAATGTCAGGAAATTGTTTCAAAGCAATCTTACCTGTTTCATTGTCTGCCACAGCAATAGAGAAAACATCTGTTGGAACGCTAACTAAAGAAGCAGTAGCGACCGTTCCGGACATATAAACGAAGGAAGGCTGAAAACCTACAAACAGAAATCAAATGCCAATATTGGCATTCATGCCAATGATCACATGGAGAGCATTTTGCGCTTTAAAAATTTAACTTCAGATCACTCCCTAAGCTCCGTTTCCTCAGATTTCATTCACGTCCCATGAAGTTAGAGCAATGTTTAGATACTTCCTATCACTCTGAAATGTTATTATCTGAAGATAAAATAATCCTTCCTCTCCACTTGAGACAGAAACGAAATTATATGTCTTTGCTTCAACAGAAAACAAGTACAAAAAAAATTCCCTTCGTTAGTATGCAGTGGACGGAAGAGGGAACATGTGTTATTTATTACTAGACAAGCACCACAGCTCCTAAAACTATTCATCAAAGATTAACTTCCTAGCACTGCACTCTCCTGTCACCCCTCCCAAAACTTTTTTTTTTTTTGAATACACAGAAAGCTGTCGTGTTTCTGTACACGGAAAAGCAGGTTGCAATCCTAAAGACACTTCAATGCAAATGATGGTTGTAATCCCTACGCATAATTATATGCAAAAGCAGGTTGCAATCCCTAAACATACTCCAATGCAAACGATGGTTGCAATCCCTAAACGTAATTATATACAAAAGCAGGCTGCAATCCTAAGGCCACTTCCCTGCAAGCAAGTCCCACTGAACTCAACAGGGCTTGATTTCAGGGTCGTCCCGGGGGGGGGGGCAAATGAAACCCGAAGCAAGCAAGC